ACAGGGGCGCAGGAGGAGCGACCAGCGTATCAGGCGGGCAGAGGAGGGTGGGAAGAGGGGGGAACAGACGGGGGAGGAGAAGGGGGAGGGGGGGGTCCCAGGGGGTCCCATGGTAACTAACTTCCCCTGGAATCAAAAATTAGTTACCATGGGGCCTCTATTTGGTATGTGGGAGTCCCTGGGGGTCCAATGGTAACTAACTTCCCCTGGGATCAAAAGTTAGTTACCATGGGGCCTCTATTTGGTATGTGGGGGTCCCTGGGGTTCCCTGGGGGTCCCTGGGGGTCCCATGGTAACCATCTTCCCCTGGGATCAAAAGTTACTTACCATGGGGCCTCTATTTGGTATGTACTATGTGGGGGACACTGGGGGTCCCTGGAAGGATGTTGAGGAAAAATCTGAGATTTGACGAGTTGTCCACCAAGGCCCTGTACCGGCTCCATGGCCCCCGCATTGAAATTATGCGGCATGATCTTACGCCTCGATGGGAGACGCGGGCGGGCGCTTCATTGCGACATAGACCTTGGCACCATGGTATACTGCATGATCTTACGCGTCGAGGGGACTTCATTGCGACACAGACCTTGCCAACATGGTATAATAAGGCTTCCTTTCTTGAAATTCTGTGATATTAAACCGCCAGTACTTCCTAAAGGCGTGCCCGTTAACGAGCCATATGGGCTACTACAGGAGGGCCCAAATTCATCCGGCGACTAGAAACGTTTCTACTCTATTTTTCTTTTTCTGCGGCCGATAGCTAGGCTTGTACTTGTGGTTTAACAGGAGCCTTCCTGAAGCTAAGAAAGCTGCAGCCCTTTTATGCCCTTTTTTTTTTTTTTTTCCCAGCTCTTTTATGGCTAACTATTTACTTATTTCAAGTTATTTCAGAGTTATTTGAAGTTAAAAAAATAAAATTAAAAAAAATTAAATAAAAAAAACCCAGTTATTTCAAGTTATTTGTGCCATACTGCCCCCTGCTGAATGGTTACCCACCACGAGCCAATATACCAAGTTGAAAGCCACCTGTTTGGTCTGCGTGCTGCTGGAACCTGAGGACCTCTTGCATCCATGGATTACCTGCCCGCTGCAACAAGGCTTCCGCCAGTGGTGGGTCTTGCCTTTCATCTTCCAGGCCCCCCTCTCCGTTGCTTCTAACAGACTACTTCGTTGCAGAGATCCTTTCGAGGGCGAACACATCTGTTTTTTTTTGTTTTGTTTTTTTTTGCCAAGCAGGCCATCATAGCAGGCCTACTACCTTCTTCCCCCGAATACAACGTACGGTCATTATAGCTGTATTTGGGGTATCTTTCAGACTAAATACAGATATAATGACCGTACGTTGTATTCGGGGGAAGAAGGTAGGGGGGGTGATAGGAGCAGTTGGAGGCGAACGCTCAACATGCATCAGTGATAGGAGCAGTTGGAGGCGAACGCTCAACATGCATCAGCAATATCCTTATATGCTTCAGAAATGGTCCGTGCCTCTATCGTGTTTGCCTTTTGGAAAGTCAGAAATGATCATTGCGTTCGACAGGGCAAAATTTCCGCTCTAAAGCACTTGCAACGACTGGTCGTACTCGGTATACGGCAGAGCCTTGAAGTTGATTTCTTGCAAAAACATGAGACCTCCCCTACCACTACTCCACTATCCTTCATGGCTCGTGTCTGGGCCCCATTTCCTAAACTTTGACTTTGAAAACGACAGGTACATTTTTGGGCCGGCTCTTTAGAGATCACCTCTGGAGGGATGATGCATGGTCGGCCTCGACAACCTCTGCTGGTAGCCCTCATCACTGGCAGGAGGGGCCTTCTGCCGCTCTGCAGTATTTCCTGATTACCTATTAGGCTATTACCTTGGCCGGTAGGACATGATTATGTTGAATGATGTATCAATAGGGGCTCCTTCATATAAATTTTTTTTTATTTTTTTTTTT